ATTGTAGTATGTTTCAAGGACCATCCAAATCATACAACTTTACCTTTAGTTTATCCATGAGTATGGTATTTTCTTTTATCAATGATCAATTTATTTTTTTGTTAAATTTCTTGAAAATTGATTGACAAGCAGGTATAGGACCTGATGCTAAACAGGATGATCAACTAGAGTATAATGGAAGATTAGAGCACCAAGAAGATCAAAACACAACCAAGCAGTTCCTAATATCTTCCTATAAAAAGAACCTATACCCTGTTTTGAAGGCAGAGATTCAGCAAAGTCATAAAGACACAGTTCTTGCTCCTTCAAGAACAACACCATCATCTAGAGGTAAGTAATTCCAACTAAGTCTCTCTAGGTCTTGCTGTTTGATTTGTGCTGTTGTGCATTGCGTTTTGATCATTTGTACATGGTACATCTGCAGGCAGTGGAAAGTACCAATGGACCACCAGCTGGTGGGAGCAATTTAAGGTTTTGCTGGAAAGGGGTTTAAAAGAGAGGAAGCATGAATCTTTCTCAGGCTTAAGGATTTTCCAAGTCTTGTCAGTTTCCCTTCTTTCAGGCCTTCTGTGGTGGCACTCTGACACTTCACATATACAAGATCAGGTATTGCAATTTCCACCCATCTATAATTTTCAGGCCTTAATAATATTTGAGCAATATTTGATCGCTATAAGCACTAATCAAATTAATATTACACTTTGAACAGGTGGGACTTCTTTTCTTCTTCTCCATATTTTGGGGCTTCTTCCCTCTATTCAATGCCATATTTGCATTCCCCATGGAAAGGCCAATGCTAGTAAAAGAACGCTCTTCGGGCATGTACCGTCTCTCTTCCTACTACTTTGCGCGAATGGTTGGTGATTTGCCAATGGAGCTTGTGCTCCCAACAGTGTTTGTGACAGTAAGCTATTGGATGGGGGGTCTCAAGCCTTCATTTGTCACATTTGCACTAACCCTTTCCATTGTTCTTTATAATGTTCTAGTCTCCCAAGGCCTGGGGCTAGCACTTGGGGCCATTCTAATGGATGTGAAGCAGGGCACCACTCTGGCTTCTGTGACCATGCTGGTGTTTTTACTAGCAGGTGGATATTACATCCAGCACATCCCATCTTTCATTGCTTGGTTGAAGTACATTTCCTTCAGCCATTACTGTTACAAGCTTCTTGTGGGAGTTCAATACTCAGTAAATGAAGTTTATGAGTGTGAGATGGGGATGCATTGTAGTGTCATGGACTTTCCTGCTATAAAGTATCTGGGACTTGATAGCATGTGGTCAGATGCAGCTGCTTTGGCTGTGATGTTGGTGGGATATAGGGTTTTGGCTTATGTGGCTCTAAGGATGGGGCAACCTCACTGACTTCTTGAATCTTGACGGTGATAGATCAGAAACTGACATGCACCCCTGCAGCTAGAGAATTTGATGACGTACTCTTCGATCTCCAATTTTATCAAAATAATCATATGGTTTTCAACTGATATTGTGAATCTGGATTTCATGCTGGCTGGAGAAATCTCAATTGTACTCCTTTTCATGGAAATTGATATGATATTATTAATTGTAGGTTTGTAAACAAAATTGCAATTCAATTTGCTGATGACAACTCTTATTCCATTATAACTTGAACAACAGAACTGTGAAATAAATAGAAAGAATTTCCTGAACCACTCGGGCTTGTTTAGATGAAGTAACCAAGCAATGATGTTTTAACAGTTTACCAAATTTCAGAAGTTATCACTTTGATGCAGTAAAAAGTTCTGCACTACTGCAATATGGTGTTCCAACCAAAATTTTACTTATTTCATTCTGTATAAAAGGTTCTGTGGTGCTTCATATTTTCCTTAAAACTACAAATGTATACACTTAACCTTCATGCTACTGAATTGAAAATTTTACAAAAATTTCAAATGAGGGAGATGCATGTTAGGCTGCAAAATGACATGAGGTAAGGTTTTAGGGAAATTTGAATGGAATATCTGAAAAAACAGTAAAATCTTAGTCCACAATGGATTGATATCTACATAATATCTTTAGTACAGAAAGTGGATGTACTTCTCTGTGGGTTTATGCATTTAAATCAACTGTATACCAATGCGCACCCTAGAATACGCATCGAATGATGTCAATTTCAATAGGTCTTGATTAAGCATCTGATTCAACGGCATCTCCCAACAGGCCACCAGACCATTTTATTCCATCTGCTCATGTGCCATCAAATCTCTGTTCACCATATATCTTCTGCAAGTAGGATTCTGATTCCGGGTCACAATTATGAACCTCAACTATAAAATGGCTGTATCATAGTAGAGCTAACAATTGAAGCCAGACAGGAAGCAAACGAACACTTTTGTGTGTAAGCTTAACAAACAGAAAATGGCATCACTCAAGGTTGAGAAACCTGTTGGCACTCAACCCTCTGCAGGGCAGGCCAAGAAAGAACCTGCTCCCAAAGCTAGTGGCACCACGCCCAAAGCTCCGGCCTCCAAACCAGCCCCTAAGAAGGCTGAGCCAAAGCCTAGGGAGCCTAAGAAGAAGGTAAGCAAGCAAGCCTACATACCCCATCATGCTATTGAATTATAAGCACTTATTCTCCATTTATTTCTTAAGTGTGTTCTTACATAGAATCTTCTAACGCTTATGGGGCATTGATTATGTGCTTACAAGCTTTTTATTATGACTATTTTCTTAGACAACGGGAAGCAAGCCTGCAGCCAAGAATTAGATGAAAACCAGCGGCGCAAGGTGTGAAGTAAATGAAGATGCTAAATCACCGCCGTCCTCCCTATGTTTTATAATAACATAACCAGAACACTTGGTTGTGATATATGTACATGTCTCTCGTTTTAGGCTTGGCGTGATGAATAAAAAGATACCTATATTTTAAAAGGAACTGGTCCTTGCTTGCCATTGTCTTAGAAAGTTCAAGTGCTTAACCAGATGAACTCGAAAAACTTGGTCATGACAGTTGGAGGAGGTTAATGAGGGTAACGTTGCAAACTGCAAGGGGTTTGATTGATTACAAGTTAAAACAAGGATGACTAATTAATAAGAAAAATGTTCAGGATTGAAGTCATACTGAAAGTAAAAACTTGGGAAATTTTGATCTATTCGTTCTATTCTAATGTGGAATAAGGCTAAAGAGAATCTGATAAAATAAAGTGAGATAAAAAGCAGATTTATACTAAGGTGGGCTGTTGTCTAATTGGCTAAAGATCCTTCCCAAATACCTTGTGTCTGATAAAATCAAGTAGAACCACGCTTTGTTGAACCAAGTTCAATTTGCTGTTTGTTCATAGGCTTGGCAGAAATGAATTGAGAAATACCTAGCTAGACTGACCAGTACTCAAGAGTACTCAGCTTTCCAAACTCGTAGGATACGGCAGACTAGTCCTAGGATCCTGATCCCCTGGTGCGCCTCTTTGTTTTCTAATCTAGACCATCTGTATTTAAAAATGGGAATTTATAGGCTAAAAATATGCTATGAGACCCCAGAAGTTAAAAATTAATGCAGACTACAAAACAGGAAAGAAGAAGAACGTACGAGGACCTTCCTCTCCTTCATACATGGCCGGAAAGATGAAATTAACACAGTTTGAAAATGAAGATGCATCTTGCTCCGGCACTTAGAGAATATGGGAAACTGTTGCAACTTACAACAATGCCATTGCCCACATTTATTTCAACATATGCACACACACACACACACACACATATATATATTTGCTTTCTATAGTAAGAACGATATTATCCATGCAAAATTCAGCTAAATCAGGAATTGTTTAGCCATCGGATTTTCCACATTTTCGTTTCAGTTTTATCCAACGAATTGCATTTTTTGCACATTTTAAATTACCAAACAAGTTTCAATCTGAATGATATTTAGTAAGAATAATCTTTGACATTGTCCCAAAGATGAAAGTAAAGATTCAAACCCCTAGTCTTCAACGAATTGCATCTTATAACGTTATGTTCATTAGCTTAGAACCAAATTCGCATTAGATCTTTCAATATCGTGGGTTTTTTTTTTTGTGGTCATAAAAGGTACTTCATAAACCCCACACAGGGGAGCCAAAAGGAGGATACAAGATAAGCAAAAGCTGGGAAAGGAGCATATGCTAGACACAGCTTAGTGCAGGAAACCTAACCCAGCAAAACAAAATATTAAATAACAGGAGGGCAAGGAAGCCCATCAGAGGTTAAAACACCCATAAGGGACGGTGGTGGCTGATCCAGCCAGGTAACCCATGCACTGCTCCTAAACCAAACAAAGCCGCAGCCTGAGCTGTTGAATTATAAAAGTTAGTTAAAACAGTATTTTACTCATTTAATCTTTTCATAGCCAAATGTAATGATCCTATTGGATAGTTAGATGGATGGCTGAGATCGTCTTGTGATGTAAGAGATCCAGCTACTGTGCCTAAAGGTAATATTCCTCACTCCAAGTGCGTGAGGTTGTAATGAAATAGTATGAGAACATTCCTCTGCTTTAGAGTTGCAGAGGAGTAAGAGAAGGATTCATTCTCTTTGCCACTCTCAATCTTTCTTCTTCTTTCTTTCGTCACCATCACTCTCATACATCAGAAAACACTAACATGAGCCGCTCGGTTCTTTTCAATGCTCTAGAAGACCCCCAAAGTCCAAGAACCATGCAATTATGTCCGAAGGGAATCATATAATTAATTATTTCCATGATCGCATAAATTGTTCCTTTAAAACGTCATATATTCAGTTACTCACACCAATTACCAAATGCTGAGATTGATTTCTAACAATTTCAGATAACAGGGTAAGCAATAAGTAAGAAAAAGCATCTGATGCCAACAGCCTTCAAGTGCAGTGCAGCTCTGCCATTTGCCAATACAAGTTCTTCCGTTCTCCTCAAACACTACGTACCATCCTTTTAGTTGTCGCCTTTTATCTTAACTTGTTATTCTAATTCTTTTTCCACTGTAAGGAATTGCTGTTATAATAGAAGGGCAGGCTCAGAAGGAGCCAGCAGTCGAGTTGAGGCCATCGAGTTAATACGTACGTTAGATTTTTCATATATCATTGTGAAAGAGTTTCTTAGAGAACTATACATGGCATCAATGAAGGCTGAAATAAAGCAAGTTGGCACTCGACAGTTTGGGCAGGCCAAGCAAGAACCCAAGGCCAGTGATGGTGGAGCCAAAGCTCCAGTATCTAAGGCAGCCCCAAAGAAGGCTGCACCAAAGCCTCAGGCACCCAAGAAGAAGGTACACATATATATCCACATTTGGGTCATCTTCTTGGCCTATCAGTTAAATGTATGATGTGGTTTGTCTTCATGCTTTATGTTAATTAATTTGGTTTCATTAGCAGATGTGGGTTAGGCCAGTTTGCCAAGGTAGTAAGCCCGCCCCATTTGCATCCAAGTTTGAATCCCCTTTAGAGCATCTCCAGCCTTGGCACAAGACTGGGCAAAAGGCCCCCCAAGATGCTCCAGCGGAAGAAAAATGGCCCGGGCAAGGCATGGGTCCCACGGAACTGGGCAAGCCCACAGGCAGATCTTGCCTGGGAGCAGCCCAAAGGCGCTGACGTCAGCGAGCGGTAAGTTCAAATTTTTTTTATTGTTGGCGTGTGAAATTCACGCGCCAACGGTAAAAAAATTTGACTTTCGTTCGCTGACGTCAGCGCCTGACAGGGCCCAACGGAAAAATGCCACGTGGCGCTTCCTGGGCGCTGCGATGGCTTTTTTCTCAGAAATCTGACGGCCCTCTTTTTTTTGGCCAAAACAATTCCAAAAAAAGTCAAAATTTTTTAAAAAAAATTCCAAAAAAAGTTATAATTTTTTTAAAAAATATGAAAATCTTATCTGACATGGACATGTGGCAACCAAATATCTTATCCGAAAATATTATCTGAAATTTGAGGTGATAATTTTATAATAAATAGTGACACGTGGCAACCGAAAATATTATCTTAAAAGCTTATCAAAATTAATGGTAAGTATAAAAAAATAGAAAATAAAGTACAATGAATAGTATTTGCCCGGGCAAGCCTTCCAAGGGTGGAACCAATTAAGGCAAGGCTGACACTATTCACGTGAATAGTACCAGCCCTTGCCTTGCCTTAGCCTACATGGGTGGAGATGCTCTTAGATTAATTTTAACTATCATTTGTATTAAAAAATTTGGTATCATTAACAAACCAATGATGATTGTACAGGGTTCAGGTGGCAAAGCGGCAGCCAAGAACTAACCAAATTTCTGATTACTATTTAAAAAAAAAATACAAGTAATAGCATAAACTAAAAGGGAAATGGGGTTTCTCACACACACACACTACCAATATGTGTCATGAGGGTTCGAACCTGAGACCAATGGTCTACAAGTCAAAACCATTTTCCACTAGACTAGACCTCGTATAGTATAGTATAAGAGACAAAAACAAAAAGCATATGAAAAATAAAGATTTCATTTCTTATTGTCTCATAATGGAAAGTATGAGTGCAAGCAATGAGTGCATTTGACAGTCTTTTTATGCAAGCATGGGAACTATGATCTCATCCACGAGGCATTAAATTATGTGCTTACAAACTTTTTATGACTGTTTTATTAGACAACGGGAAGCAAGCCTGCAGCCAAGAATTAGATGAACGGCCAGAGGTGTGGAGAACATGAAGATGCTAAATCACCGCAGTTCCTCCCTACGTATTATAACATCATAACCAGAAATCCTGGTTGTGAAAATGTCCATGTTTCTCTCTTATTAGGCTTGGCGTAATGAATAAAAGATACCTATATTTTAAAACGAACTGGTCCTTGCTTGGCATTTGCTTAAACTAGATGCAATATATGTACCCAAGCATTGAATAAAAGAGGTGTTCACAAATCTGAATCATGGACGAGGAAACAAGTGCAGGATATTACAAAGTTCAAGTGTTGAAAAAATAGGCAGGCAGGTTCTGTATATGTGGTATTTTCACCACTAAAGCTCCACAGAGCATCTTCCATTTCCTTTCTAGTTTTAAGTGAACCTGAAAAACTTGATCATGACGGAGCAGGGTAACGAGGCTTGATTGAAGGACAGGAAAACATATCAAAACCTGAACTTTGTTGGTGCAAACTGCAAGGGGGTTTGATTGTGTTACAAGTTATAACAAGGATGACTATTTAATGAGAAAGATGCTCAGAATTGAAGTCATATATATTGAAAGTAAAAACTTGGTGAAGTTTGATCTATTCGTTCTATTCTAATGTGAAATAAGGCTCAAGAGAATCTGAATAAGTGAGAGAGAAAGCAGATTTGTACTAAGGAGGGCTGTTGTCTAATTGGCTAAAGATCCTTCGCATATACCTCGTCTGATAAAATCAAGTAGAACCACGCTTTGTTGAACAAACTTTAATTGTTGTTTTGTCATAGGCTTGGCAAAAATGAAATTGAGAAATTCTTAGCTAAGACTACCCAGTTCAAGTTCTCAAAACCCACCTCTGGTTTTTTATTTTGCCAATAGATGTGATGTTTGAATTTGATCCACAAAGAGGAAGACCCTTCTCCATTGAAGTGGGTTTCTTTGACTCTGTCCTAAAGATCAAACAAAAGATTCAAACCCAAGTCTTCAAAATGAAGTTAAAATATTCACAGTTTAGCGTAGAAGCAAACGATCCTATTAATTTTTCCTGTTTAAAACCAAATTCGGATTTAGATGCTTTTGTGGATTTGGGCCAAGTTGCGTAGTGAAACCTGACTCTGATACCAATTGTTAAGAACTCATGGGTAGAACTTGCCCTTAAAAACCGGCTTGTAAAAGAAGGGTGCTCATGAGCTCTTAAACCACTCTAGGTTCCAATGTGAGATCTTGAGTTCTAACTAGGCACGTACTTACTAACATGCTAACCTGGGCTAAAGCCCAAGCAGCTTGTTTTTTTTATAGACTAAATTATTATTCTAGCCTAGGTCACCTAAATAAAATATTATTAATTAATCCCACTAAGACTAGGCTAACCACCCAAATAAAATATTATTAACTAATCCCACTAGGACAAGGCTAACCAACAAATAAATAAAAAGAACAAAATTAGCAGAAACATACTACTTGATTGATAGATTGATTCATTTGGTGCTAACTCTTCCTGTATCTACAACAACAATAGAATGAGCATTTTCATGTATGAGACTTCGGAATAAGATAGGTGATGAGTTTCTTGCTGATTGTATGCTACTTTATATTGAAAGAGAATTTGCTGATAATATAGATAATGAATCAATAATTAGTGATTTTAATGTTGTGAAGACTCGAAGGGTGCAACTTATATAAGTGTTATTTGAGGGGTAAGGCTCATAATGTACCCCCGTGCATTTTTTTTTGTTATCAATGAAATTTACTCATACTGTTGAGTTTTCAATAGGTTTATACGTAAGGTAAATATAGCCCACGCCATTTTGAAATCCTCAGTCCGTTCCTGGTCCTAATAGCCTTGATTTTCACTTCAATATCCACTTGCTATAAGTATATATACCGATGTTCTAGAAGACCCCAAAGTCCAAGAACCATGCAATTATGTCCGAAAGGAATCATATAATTATTTTCATGATCGCGTATTGTTCCTTCAAAAGTCATATATTCAGTTATTCACACCAATGACCAAATGCTGAGAGATTGATTTCTAACAATTTCAGTATAATATATATATCGGTAAGCAGTAAGTAAGCAAAAGCATCTGATGCCAACAGAGCTCTGCCATTTTGCCAACACCAGCCAGTTATATTCCATTCTCCTCAAACACCACCATCCCTTTAATCGTCACCTTTTATCTTAACTTGTTATTCTAATTCCTTTTCACAGTTGGGAACTGCTGTTATAAAAAGGGCAGGATGAGGCAGTTGAGTTGAGGCCATCGAGTTAAGATAAACGTACGTACGTTAAGTTTCATATCTTTGTGAAAGAGTTTCTTAGAGAACTATACATGGCATCAATGAAGGCTGAAAAGCAAGTTGGCACTCAACTATTTGGGCAGGCCAAGAAAGAACCTGCCACTTCCAAGGCCAGTGATGGTGGAGCCAAAGCTCCAGCATCTAAGGCAGCCCCAAAGAAGGCTGCATCAAAGCCTCAGGCACCGAAGAAGAAGGTATGATATGGTTTTTTTCTTTCTAATTTGGTATTAATCAATTTGGTTTCACTAACAAACTGATTGATGATTGTACAGGGTAAAGGTGGCAAAGCTGCAGCCAAGAACTGACCGAAGTGCTGATTAGCGCTTATAAGAAAGAAACGACTTCATTCCGTATTGTCTCCTAATATTGTGTTTTTGGATTTTGTAATCAATGAGTGCAAGCATGGCAACTTTGATCTCATCCATGTAAAGCCACACCCTAATGAAATAAAAATATGTTTTTAGCTACGGTCCTCAAATGTTATACTGCAAGACGGGTTCACCTTGTCACAGATTAGCCAAAAGAGCTTCATTTTTCTAGTTCCCGATGTAAAATAATCTGGGTTTATGATTACAAATATCCCCTTAAGGTCGTCAATATCATTACATATCATCCTAATACGATTATACAAGTTTCCAGAATCTTTCAGACATTATACAACGGGAAATAAAATCTTTGATATGAGACAAGAGAAGCGGGTAAATCTGAAGGTTACCCAAAAAATAAGGGGTAAACACTTCAACTGTCATTAATGATATGTACAAAATGAATAGAGTAAATCACCAAGAAACTCAAGGGGCTGATAACTGATTGACAAAATGGCTAGAATGGGCTAACACGGTGAGCCAACTTCAACATGAACTCAGGTACAAGACGTTTTCTTGGCGGAGCCACTGCGTCTTTGGCAAGAGCCTCTGAATCACCTTCATGAATGATAGCTACTAAATCTTCAAACATATCGTCTTTACCACCTCGCATTGGATCCTGAATAACACATCCACCAAATAGATTTAGTATAAGAAACTCTTTCTTTCTAGGGTGTTCTTTTCCGTCTTGGGGAGGGGGAAATTTAAAAGGTAGGATCTTTTGATAGGCCATGTTAGTACTTCCAATATCCGAAAATGGAGAAGTAATCTCTTGAAAAAAAAGAAGTAAAAATATTTATAAATATCCAAGAGTGGCAAGTTTGCTTTGTAAGGTTCTTGCAGGAAAGAATAAATCCCAGACCAGTACTTGAAGATGCAAGAGAAACAAAGCATTGGAGCATTTCACCTTTTTAATGAATGAAAATAAATGGTTGTGTCGTTGATGGAGATTCTAGATTTAAGAAACCAAAAGGCAACTAAGAGCTAGTCTGCAGAAAATGTACAGTTGAGTGGAGCATTTTTCTTAACTACAACCACAAACTCCACAACCCCAATGTTAAAACAAAAAGGAACCATCTTTAGTGATCCCTTACCTGAAGAAACAAATCCGTGTGAGTCTTCCCTTCATAAAGAATCGATTTAGCTTTCACTCCAAGTCTCTGAAGAGTTTCTGCAAAATTCTTGCTGCACAAGGGAACATGTTAGTCAAAGCCTGTAGACTTATAATTGTAACCTATAAGATTTAAAGGATAACCTTATGTCTGAATAGTATATTTTGACTCTAATAGTTACATTAAGTAATGCAACAATGAAATACTCAGTTGTAAGATTTCTAAAGAAGGGGTTCACACTGTTACAATTGAGAGAGAACTATAGGCGATCAAATAGTATATTTTGACTCTAATAGTTACATTAAGTAATGCAACAATGAAATACTCAGTTGTAAGATTTCTAAAGAAGGGGTTCACACTATTACAATTGAGAAAGAACTATAGGCGATCAAGTAATTCATTTCAGAGGAAACTTATACCTGGCATCTGATGGTATGGAATAATCTGCTGTACCATGAAATAAAATAATTGGAGGTAGGAGAGAAGCAGCATGTCTAATGTTCAGGTCCTGAATCATGAGTTCTGGAGAAAAACGTTGCAATGATTGCTCCCCTTCCATTATGCTGAAAAAGGTTTTGAAGTCATAAAAATCAAATGCATTCTAACAAAAAATATGGCACTAGACGAGTATATGTACAGTCAACTTTCTAGGAGACCAAGAAGGTCCTTACCCTAAAAAGATTGAACGGTATAAACCTCGACGGTGGAAGTGATCCACTAAGTTAAGCAAATTGTACCTGTTTGAGCATGTCAGAATGAGAACCTTAAGTGCAAAAAGAAAATTCATAACTTACAAAAATACATGAAAAAGAGCAGCAGGTGCAATCAGAAAGAATGGGATTGTGGATGAAGAAAAAAAACAAGTATGATTTATTAGACCATAGTTGTACTATCAAGTCCGGAGACTACACTGAAGCAAATACAATTATAGAATACAAGTAGCCTTTTTATCAGTTCAGAAGCAAAAGGTGATCTAAGAATTTGGTCATGAACATGTGTATGCCATACAAGCACTAAAACCTGCATTACCCACTAACATATTCAAATTAAAGACGTAACTATCTGGTTCGGCCTCCTACAGCTTTGGGTCAGTTACACTAGAATGCATTTGCCTGTTCACTGGTGCCATACTCTCATCTAATATGGTTCACTATAACAGAGAAGAGGGCAACAGATTTCAGATGAGTTTTGACATTTACCCTCCAGATAGACCAAAGTAAGCCTTTATCTGGGAAACACTCCAAGAAGTGCTCTCTCCTTCACCAGCCTCCTTGATTGCCTGGTCAATGAGTGCGCACGCACCAATATGTGCACCAGCTGATTGTCCCATTAGATAAATCCTGCACAAACATAGCATGAAAAATGCCAACTTTGGTTACTAGGATTATCTCCACGACTAAACCAAATTATAGAACCTAAAAAAACCTCCATGACTGAAATTTAGAACAAAAGATTCCATTACCTATTAGGATCACCTCCATAATCAGCAATATGATTGCACACAAATGAGATTCCTTGAGAAGCATCCTTTACCATATCACTGATAGTACCCTGAGGAAAATTTCTGCATGAAGAAATCATATCAAGATAATGTCTAAAATCGGGTAGCTAAGGATTAGATACATTAATTCCCTTTCATAGATAACAGAGGTGGTGTATCAGAGAGACTCAAATCTCCATATATTCATAAAGTTCCTTCAGAAGAATAGAGTTTCATTTGGACACATGGCACCTATCATTTGTAGTATGTGCTTGCTTGAAGGTAAAAAAGCCACCTGTAATCTATGCATGCCACTATGATGTCTCTTTCTGATAACTGTTGTCCTAAAAGAGACCCCCATGCTTTGTAACTGCATCAACAGAAAACTAAAAACATATTAAGAATAAATAAGCAGGAAAACGTTGCAAGAAAAAGGCAACTGTGATCAAAATGAACAAACAAAGCAAACTATGACACACTGAATACAACTCAAGCATAAGGAATCATGGTACCAATAAAAGGGACCTCAGTCTCAGCTCCACTGCTTAAAATTTACATCCCGGAAACCAACAGTAATGTAAGCTACTGCTAGCTAGACCCTTCATAGAATTATTCAAAATAGGCTGCCAAGGAGTAACATCACTCACCCAATAATCCAGGCTCCACCAGTTACAAATGCAATGACTGGCTTTGGCCCGTCGGTATTTTTGGGTAAATAAAGATCTAGCCTGCAGAACAAAGTATCAGCTATTAATGCTGCAAAACCAATGAATATTAAAATATATACTGCTCCTGAATACACACAAAAATAAAGAAAGTTCATATCCTACCTATTTCTTGGTTGATCGCCATAAACTATACCTCTGCGAACCTGACTGGAGAAGAAATAATGATAGCCAACTGCAAAAGACAGGTAGACTAGTCTAGTCATCCTCCCTTGGATGATAATTTGTGAATCATATCTCATGGCCATGATAATGGTCTACAAAATTTAATATCCGAAGTGGACAAAAAAACTATAATGCATAAAAGGTATGCAAGAGGTGAGGCATATATGCAAGATAATTTTAAGATGGCCCCATATGAATGTTACCTTGAATAAATCCTGGCATGAGTAAAAATGAATAACAACCAAGGGCAAGAAATCTTGTAATCCATCTGTAGCCTACCCTGAACAAAAATATACAATCAGGAAGCATCTAATAATAGAGAAATGCTTGATAAAGATCTCAAAGATCACGAATCCATGTAACATAAATAATATAAAACATAAGAGTGCCCTTTAAAAACAAGTTTTCTCTCTTTCTAATGTGTAAACTTCAGGATGATGAATTTTAATAGATTACGTTCCATTTTAAGTAATTCCAAGTTCCCAACCAGTAGAAGCCGTTTCCATTTTGCTTATGTTAGGTTATGTATCTTCTTTTATCAATGTTCTTTCCAACAGTCATGTTCCACTTACAGAGCTCACAAGGCAATATCTTTTGTTTCTTGTGTGATCCATAGACTATTTCACACATGTTCAAGCCGAAGGTCAGATTTTCCTCAATGTCACTTTCCAGAGATCTCATTAGACAGTTCTAACTCATTGTTCAATATTATTAGTCTCAAATGATAATCAAATAGTTCTCACTCTGAAAGTGAAGTCCTTGATTCCAATCCAAGCATACAACCATTGATAGACAGCACTATTTGCAATCCAGTTTTACTCAGTTTGCAAATAATCGAAATCACAAAATGGGTATCCCAAATCGGAGCAAGTGTCAAATCAAAATACACAACCAACCAAGAATTTTAAAAAAAGAACAGAACTTTGCGTACCCAAGATATCTCAATAGCTTCAAACTTAACCGGGTCACCAAGAACGTCTCGGCGGCAGCGTGCTCCACCTCACGGCCCAAGGAATTGTTGCGGCTATCATCGGAGAGCGAAGAGAGGGAGCTATCGCTGGCGGTCCGGCGCCGCCTCTGCTGGTGCTTGTTGGCACCATTAGTGGTGGTGGTAATGTAACTTGAGGCCCTAGGGAGAAGGGGCTTTATTATGGGGGTGCCCTTCTCTTCATCTTCTTCTTCAAAATGTGAAAAGAGGAGAAGCCTAGTTGTTGGGTCATCCTCTGCATCTTTGAGTAGCAGTTTGTCTGTGGGAGAAGATGAGCTTGAGAAGACTGAAGGTGGATGGTATGATATGGGCAGAATTTGTTGGGATGGCATTTTGCTTTTTCGGGGGAGTTTTCTAGAGAGAGAAAATTGGCAGCAAATCTTGAGCTTTCTATGTTTGCTGTGAATTGGGTAACTGTTAATAACTGCTTTTTGTGATGTTGGGTTTCTTTGAGTCTTGGAAAGATTGGAAATTTGGCAATTGGCAGATTTAGAGATCAAGAACAGGTGGAAGAAACCAAAGCCATTTTGTCAAAATCAGTGTGTACAATGTTAGGCATATGGCATGCAAACAACCAGAGAGAGAGAGAGTGGAGCAGCCCCAGTTAGCTTTTGCCACATGGTGTGTGATGATAGGTTACTTTGTTTTTGTACAAGTTGGAATTGGTCGTATTCGAATTTCTTCGTGCTATGCATTTTATTATTTTGTCGCTTCTCTAATGGCTAACGTAACAAGGAGCTGTTTGGATTTCGCTTTGAAATTATTTTTTTGTTTCGCTTGCAATCTTGCATGACGAAATCTGGAATGGGTTTGTGATTTGTGATTTTTCTTCGAAATGCAAAGAGGATGAACTACATTCCAAAATCTGCATTACCTGCTGCAATTTTTTAATTTTTTATTGTTTCAAAAATATATTTTATTATAACACTAGCCTCTCCGCACACGCTTCGGAACCTGCGAGAGGTTTTTTTTAAAGATATATATTTATTGGAGTTTTTTTTTTCATTTGAAATTTGCTCTGGACAAAGGCATTATTAACATTATCATTGAATTGAGCTCTTGCTATTCATCTTGTTCAACATATTGATTCCTCATGTTTACACCGCATTACTGGTTTGCTACAGGATTAGTTTGGTCTCGTTAGCCAATTTGAGAATTATATATGTGCTGTGGTGAAAATGTGCAAGACATTTTAGTAATTAAATTAATTTGGATTCTGATTCATGCAAATTAGTAAACAATAACAATGGGAATCAACCCCATTCCTTTGCTAATTCCATATGTTTAGTAAACAGCTTAATGGGAATGATTATTCCCATACCGATTCAGTAGTTCCCCGATTCCTAAATTCTCTAATTCCTTACTTTCTCCATTACTGATACGTAAACATGCCCTCAATTCTTAATGTTTGCATTAACCAAAGACATTTTCTGATATTTTGAATGTTTTACCATTTTCTGCCTTTTACTTTATATATATAGATCATAAAGGGGAAGATAAAAATATCCGAAACTTAAAGTGAAAGATTTGAAATTATTCAGAAAAATGAAATAGAAAAGTTCACACAATTAACCAAGGGTCATGCTAGGGAGACCAACTTGGGAGACCAACTTGGGATACCAACTCTCTAATAGAGGTGGAGCCCACCAATGCAATGGGTCCCACGCTCTATTAGAGAGTTGGTATCCCAAGTTGGTCTCCCAAATTGATCTCCCTAGCATTTTCTATTAACCAAACCAAACACGCCCTGCGTTTTATCACCCGTTTAGGTTACTGCTACAAAACGAAGCTGTCAATGACTCAGCTTTTGTTGACCTGTTTCTCAATGCATAATGTCGATAGTGCCCTTTCTTTGACCCAGCGATATCATATAGCTGGGCTTTCACTTTCATATTGGGCAACCCAGTTCGATTGGGCTTCGCAGGTCTTTTCTGTTCTTTTTTATACTAAATGGGATTGCATGAACCCAAAGATCTTGGAATTTTGGGCTTGTTCCAATATACTTACTTGCATTGGCCCATGGGCTTCGATGTACCACAAGTCCAGAATTGCACACCAGGTGTTTGTTTGTAGACCTCAATGAGTTAAATGGCAAAAGGAGTGACCTTTTTGCCTTTACCCAACACACTTTTAGTTCATCAAAGCATGTTTTCTTCAATGAAAAAGATTTAATATTAAGATCACGAATGTCTCATCATGGTGGGAGACAGACTTCTTTTCATGTATCAAATTTCTCATTTTGATTTGCAAATTGCAGGCAGCAGCGAGCCAAACACAACTGACATTATTGCAGACAAATCCGAATTGGTTAGTTTCCTCATCATCAACAATGTACATAAAACTGATCATGCGTCTACTGTGGCTGCGTTGATAGCTAAGCCCATCGGTCAAACCCATCTTTTGCAAAAAGGCATAAAAATATATGTCGCAAATTGCAGTGGTTCAATAATAAAGAGACATCTTTTTTTTTGTGGGGGGGGGGAAGGTTGTTCTTT